GTTGCTGAAACAGGAGGGATCATGTGCATTTGAAGAACTTAGGGAAGGCCAGCGTGGCTGAAGCATGGTGAGTAAGGCAGCTTGTGTGCCTTAAGATAAGGATGGAGAGTGAGGCAAGAACCAAGTCACACGTGGCCTTTAGTGCAGGGTTAGAGGTCTTGCACTTTATCCTGAAACAATGGAAATCCACTGAATGGCTCTAAACAGGAAAGTAAAATGATTGATTAACATGTTTTTTTAAAGATCAGACATTGTTCAGCGTGTATAATTTGTTTCTATGCATGTGTATATGCTGGTATATGAATTGAACAGCCCTGGAAGGGTATATAGCAGGGGTCCCCAACCACCGGGCCGTGGACCGGTAGTGGTGCATGGCCTGTTAGGAGCCAGGCCACACGGTAGGAGGTGAGCGGCAGGTGAGGGAGTGAAGCTTCATCTGCCGCTCCCCATCGCTCGCAATTCCACCCAAACCAGCCCCTCCCTTCCCATTCCCCCATCCCCCCCACCCCCGCCCGTGGAAAAATTGCCTTCCACAGAACTGGTGCCTGGTGCCAAAAAGGTTGGGAACCGCTGGTATATAAGAAATTCTTAACAGTGCTACTTCTGAGGAGGGGGACAGGGCAGAAGTGGAAGGAAGATTTTTATTTTTCATTTCATACTCTTTTGTTGCTTCGAATGGGGAAATCTTTCCAAAAGCTCTTCAGAGAGCTCACATTTCATTGGCTAGAATTGGATGACGTGGCCGTTCCTGAACCATTCACATGCCGAGGGGAGGGGTTGCCATGAGTGGCTTAGAGTGGAATGGATATGGGAAATTCAAACACAAGCATCTACCATAACCTGGCAGGCTAGTGATACTGGCTTTTTCAAAAGACCTAACTCTTATCACCCCTCAGGTAAAAATATATAGGATGTCACTTCCTTGACTGATGCGATGGGTCATCCGACCTTGGCCTTGGACTTCATGTCATGGACAGTGCTGGCTAGGATCTTGGGCCCTTTTACCCACCATGGCCTTGTAGTCCATAGAACTGTACTGACCTCAGCTTGGGGCTTTCCCACGGTCTGTTCCCCTTTCCCCAAGCAAAATAAGATGGGTTTTTTTTTCGTGTAACATAAATCAGTGTTCCATGACAAGCGTGCTTTCTTCCTCTTATTCCTTTGCAATTGTCGGCTCTGGATCTTTTAAGCCTCTGCCTTTGTCTCACAGAGTAAAAATGATAGGAGAATGAGAAATCAATTAGGTAGCAAGAAAATAACCATAGCTAAAGTAAAGCAATTACACCAGGGCTAAAAACCTTTCCCAGCAACAGTTAGACAGTTGTGTCAAGTAAATTTTGAAACAACAGGAGTTGTGTTGACCCGGAAAAACAGTGTATTGCCTTTATTGTCAGTCACTGTGGTTTCAAGTCTTGGCAGCCTGATTTAATTAATGACAGAACAGCTAAATCTTTATCCATACACAGCTCTCATGACAGTTTGCCACTGACAATACAACTCCTTCCTTCCTCTCTTTCCCTCCCTCTCTGCCTTTCTTCCTTCCTTCTTTCCTTTCACATATATTTATGGAGTATCTACCATATGCCAGAAACTGATCTAGGCACTAAATAACCAGAAATTTACATACTAGGTGTGTGTGTGTCTGTGTGTGTGAGAGAGTGAGAGAGAGAGATGGAGTGACATGACACTTCTGTCTGATTGATGAAGTTCTTCAGTCAGGTCTGCATTGTTTATTTAATCAAACATTTATGAAGTGTACGTTATGTGTTGGGTTTGAAGTCTAGAGATTAAGAGACAAGAGTCCATGTACTCAAGAAATGTAGCCACGCTAGCAGGCAATGACTCTCCCGTGAAGCCTTAATGGCAACATGGACAAGCTGAGGTGGGATGCGGCCTAGGATTGGCAGGGGCAGCTCCGTGTGGGGTTTGGTATTTGAAATGAGACAGAAAGAATGTGAATCATTTTGCCAGAAGCAAGGCAGGGTGAGACTGGAGGAGTGCTCAGGCATAAGGAATGATGTGCACAAAAGCCCAGGGGTGAGAGGAGTGTGGGGTGTCCCGGAAACAAGAGATAGCTTGTTCTGGCTGCAGTAGTGGGTGCAAGGAGAGTGTGTGAGCAGCTTCTCCAGGAATAGCCACGGAATCTGAAAAGGACCAGCGATCTGTCTTAGCAGATATTAAATGTATATAAAGCTACAGTAATGAAAACATTGTGGTGTTAGGGGCAGAAAAACCACTAATTTAGTTATTTGTGTGTTTTCTCCTTTTCTTAATTATGTCAATCACTACAAACTGGAAACAAAATGAAACCATATTCAAAGTGAAGAAACAAACGACAAACTAGCGAAATTTTTGCAATATATTAAAAAAGAAAAAGGTTATTGCATAAAGAATTCTCTAAAGATAGAGAATAGAGAAAATAAAAACAGAATAAAGTGAAGGGAATAGAAAGCTCAGAAACAATAAGAGCGTTTATAATATAAATATGCATATGATAAAATTACCATTTCATACCGTAGAGAAAAGATAAATCATTCAGTAAGTGATATTGGAACAAATGACCCAGCACTAAAAAAAAAAAAAAAAAAATTTAACTTAGAGCTCTAATTCATATTACATAAAAATCAAATTAAACATCAAAATCAAATATTTTAAGGTGATATTTTTAACATGCTCTCAACACTGAAATTATTTTCAAATAATTAAAATTATAAATCATTAAAAAGTTAAAGTATAGATAAGTTTGTGAAAGGGACAATTTCCTAAGAAAGAAAAGAAATGAAAAAAATGTAAAGAAAATTGTGTGTCGATGTGAATATACTAAAATATAAAATGCTTATATATTACAGAAAAGCCATATACATTTCATTCATATTTTCACATGCATTTATATAAAGTTTTGCAAAGTGCTTTCCTATGACTCTTTTTTAAAATCGAGTCATTTGACTTTCTAATTTAGGTATTCATGATTTCTCTCAATTATGTCAGTCTTATTAACTGAAAGCAAAATAAAATCACATTCAAAATAAAAAGGCAAACTAGGGACAAACTAGGGAAATATCCTAATCACATAAAAACAGGAAAAGTTTTTATATAAAAAATATCTCTAAAGACAGAGAATAGAGAAAATAAAATAAAATGGAGAAAAACGGGTAAAAGAATACGAATAGGTAATTTACTTAAAAAACAAAAATAATAACGAACATATAAAATGTGTTCAACCTCATCTGTGATGAATGAAATGCGAATTAAAACAACAATAGTATATATGTATTTTTGCCTATCAATTTGGAAAGAATATACATATATATGTATATATATCTGTATATAAATGTATCACGCATGAGGGACAATAAAGCATGAGGCATGGTTAATAAAGAGCATGAACACCTTATCTGTGTTGTTTCTTTTGTCTACTCAGTCTTGGAATTAAGAATTTAACCTTATCTGAAAGAGTCACTAGCAACAGAATCAAGCTCAGGGTAACAAAGTGTGATTAAGAAAAACAACAACAAAAAAAAAGAGTTGAGCTTTAGCTCTGAGAGAGATGAAATTATAGCAACTTATCCCTCAACTAGCTGGCAAACAAATTCTTCACAAAACTCCATCTGGGCCTGGTCTTGGTTCAAGAAGCGGGGAGTTGCTATGCTGCATCCCCCAGAGAGAAGCTTTCTCTCCCACAGAATCCTGACCATGGAAGAGGAAGAGGGAAGATGATGACTGAGTAGGTAGGAAATGCTTCAGGGAAGCTCAAGGACAGACAGAGCAAGGTCACTCTGAATTTTCATGGTTCTACCCCAGCTGGAAGCAAGGAGCAAGGAGCAGGGTTTACTGAGGCCTTTGTTTTGTCTGACAAGGGCTGAGTGATTTTGAAATCATCCCCTTTAATCATTAAATTAGACTTTGCATTTTCCAAAGACACTACAAAAATGCACAAGTTGGGCTGTAGGCAAGTTGGAGGAGAAGAAGAGGCAGCTCGAATTAATGGGGGAAATTTCAGACAGTGAAAGCCCCGCATGAGGGATTTGGCCAGACAGCACGTTGGGAGCCTGTGGTTCACGGCTGCATCCGCCCTGCTGAGCAGGGGTTTTGACTGATTTCAGGAGCTGATGGGAAATTAATCAGGAGAGAAGCTGGGACATTTGCTGCCACCGAAATCGATGTGTCAGTTGCCTGTGACGTCATGAGTCACTTCTTTCCAAATACTTTCTTACCGCTGCAACTGGCCTCTTTCCTCTTCCATGGGCTTCTTTTAATGTGGCTGTTACTTACCTTTGATTGATTGTCTAAATAACCTTCATATTCCCTTCAGGCTTCCCCCCAGATTCAGCTTGGTGGAGAGGAGAGCAGTAAGTTGAAATACAATATAGATGTTAACTTGTAGATTCAGCAGAGATGACTGGACAATATCCAATCTCAGTAAGGCTGAGGGGCTAACAGTGGGAATCACTCTGCTCCTGTCCAGCTCAACCTCTGCTGCTGATGGAGAGCAAGTCATTTTGCTTCTTTTAGCCCTAAGTCTACTCGTGAAAAGTTTAGGGGCTGGACTATGTGGTGGATAACATTTTTCCAGCTTTAGCATCTTAAGGGACTAAAGACGAACAAAGAGCAAGAACAAGAGATTCCTATAATGTCAGAAAACACTTGAAGAATACGCAACCACTTAATCTAAGAAATGCATATTGAAACAATGAGATACTTTTTTAAACCTCTGTGGTCAGCAAAGACTTAATAAAGAAATGACATCACCTTCCTCTGGGTCAGGGGAGGAAAAATGAGAGCTCTTGTTTGCTGTCGGCAGGAATACACATTTTTTAATAGGGCGGTTTATGCATATGCATCAAAAGTCTTAAAATGAGCATCATCTGTGATCTGGCAATTCCATTAGCATGAGTTCTGAGGAAATAATCAGAGACTCATGAATAATTTTAAGTACAAAGATTTTTATCACAGCATTATTTATACTATTGAAACCCAAAGGCTGATCTTCCTTTGCCCAGGACGATTTACGTGACACTCGATGGCAGGCTTGGGGACACTCAGAAGGTGCAGGATGAGCAAGACCCATATACGTACTCAACATGCCAGGTATCTCCCTGCAATTCCTGATCCCATCCACCCATGCAGAGCCACTCTTTCAGAGATGATCCTGCCATGTGACCAAGGGAGACCCTGCCTTGTCCAGGTGGTTGTGGTCTTCTTTGTTGAAAGACCATCTTTGGCCCACCATTGGCTGCAGGACAAAGGGAACATACTATGGCTTGGTTCCTAAGGCCCTTCACAATTGAGTCTCACCCCATCCAGAAAGAGCTTATTGCCAACTTCCTTTCCATCGGCACTGCCTGCCTGTCCTTTCCTGTCACCATACGCACTCTGACCCCCGGTTACCAGGGAAACTGCTTTCTCTCCACCGTCCCCTTCTCCTATCTGAAGCCTTTCTTCCTTCAAAGGATGCTTCCAAGAAGTGTTCCCTCGCATTATTTGACCTCATCGCGTACATTGTCTAGCATATTTTTGTGTGTATTGCATTTTTTTGCTCAGTTTTGTTTCAAGTTTGTCTGTCTTTTCGATTATAAGATCTCTGAAACTGGTACTATGTCTTATATTTGAAAGGTTGCATGATATAGGAGAAAGAACAGGATATGGAATCAGAGAAACCTGGGGTTAAATCCTGCGTAATGTTGGGTAAGTTACTTAACCTCTCTGAGTTTGAGTTTTATCATTTATAAGATGGGGATAATAGTTATTTCACAGAGTTGTAGTGTGGTTGATGAGATCAATGTTAACCACCTGGTAAAATGCCTGCCCCACAGCACATACTCAGAAAATGTTAGTTCCCTCCTCTTTGTCCCACTTTGGAGGAGTTGAGCTTAGCACATAGCATCTTTAGATAAAATCTTGTCACCTAGCCCATTCCCCAAAGGACACTAGGAGCAATGAGTGACCTATAGGGGAGGAGAGCAGCAGTTGGTGAACCGGGAAAGCCTCTGTATGGGTCTGGCCTGCTGGCCTCTTACCTGATGATTGTCAGGGGGATGAAGTACACCAGGAAGGCCACGATGGTCATATATGGGCTCTGGTAGGAGTCGTCGGGTCACAGGGCCCAGCACTGCACTTCACCATTGGAGAGTTTCCTTTTCCCAAATATGATAAGGGTGGGAATGGAGAATAGGAAAGAGAAGCTCCAGGCAATCACGCTGAGGACCTTGGCCTGCTTTTCTGCTCAGAGAAAAGAGAGGGATGCTTGGGCATCTGGAAACATCCTTTGGGAGCACGCTTGGCATCTAGTGTGAAAAAATATCATGGTGGAAGAGGGATTCTGGAACTCTCAGAGCCTCAGTTTCCTCATGCATAAAAAGGGGATAATAGGACCAGCATCTAAGGCTGATGCAGGGATTAAAAAGAGTATGCTTACACAGAAGCTAGAACACTGCCTGGTATAAGGTCAGTGTTCCCCAGTTTCTCCTCTTTTGCTTCCCCGATTTACCTGCTTGATTGAGATGTTGATGCACCCATTCCTAAAGTACTACGGGGGGGCTCAGTTTGTACCACATACATTTGATAGGTTGCTGTGCGAATGCTTGTCTCTTGTACCTTGCCCATCCTCAAAGGCAGGGATGGGACTTTGGTCTGTCTGTCATCCTTCTCTTGTACCTAGCACTGTGAAGCACTGTGACAGTGTTTGAAAGCTGTTTGCCAAATGTTAAGTAGCCTTCTTTCATTTGAAGGAACAAAGGAGGAATTGTAAGGCAGAGAAAGAACACTAGGCTTGGTTCTGGAGAGCAGGGTTCATTCAAACCAAGCCCCGAAGTCTGGTAGATATGACCCTACACACTAGATTTGGGCTCTTTCAGATGTGATATTTTGACCTTGGGCAAATCACTCAGTCTCAGCCTGAGTTCTTCTCTAAAGTGGGATTTTAAAAAAAAATACACACTCTGCTCACCTAATGAAGTCATGATGGGGCTAGAGAGAGACAATTAATATACATGAGAGTGCTTTTTGAAAAGAGTTGTTTTGATGTGATGCTTTCTGTTAAGCTGTTGTTGAAGGTCTTCATCTTCATCCCCATTGTAGCTGTGCTGTCTGTGCTGACTGGTCCTGGCAGCCCTTCTTCATCCAGGGACAGGAGACCTCCCTCTACCTTCCAACTTTCAAATTGGAAAGCAGTTGCATGTTTCTGGGTGGGGAGGGAAATGTAGAGTCTGGTGGTATCGTAGAGAGGTGTGTAGGGTGTGGTCAAGGAGCTATAAGAAGTGAGAACAATTCTAGAAGAAACTAGGGACTCTAGTAGAATCTTCAATCCCAAATACTTGGGAGAATAATATCTGGGGTTCTGTTCTTGCTGAATTGTCACTCTGAAAAGAGTTATTAGAAAGATTTAGAAAACAGATATTACTGGCACACTGAACAAGCAGGAATCTTGGGGTGGAATTATAATACAGTCTTTTTAGGTCTTTCTGTCGTCACCGTACATGGATCAAGTGATCCAGTGGAGTGGGAGCTCTTCTGCTCCTGTTTGAAAACTCAGCCCCTTGATGTCAGTGGTAATTAGGTAGTTTAAAAGCCCCTGCAGTCACCTTACGTGGTAAACAGTACTTCAATGTAGTAATGAACTTAAAAATTAATAAGTAGATGGGCTTCCCTGGTGGCGCGGTGGTTGAGAGTCCACCTGCCGATGCAGGGGACGTGTGTTCGTGCCCCGGTCTGGGAAGATCCCACATGCCGCGGAGTGGCTGGGCCCGTGAGCCATGGCCGCTGAGCCTGCGCGTCCGGAGCCTGTGCTCCGCAACGGGAGAGGCCACAACGGTAAGAGGCCCGCGTACCACAATAAATAAATAAATAAATAAATAAAATAAAATAAAAAACACGGACAAAATAAAATTTTTCCATGGTTAGACTAAACTCCAATTTTTCAAAGTATTGAGTATTTAAATTGTTTCCAATTATTTTGTATTATAAATAATTCATATGCATCTCTTTGCACTGCTCTGGTTATTTCCTTAGGATGAACTCTTAGAAACTGAAGATTGGGGCAAATATAGCTAAGTTTCCCCCAAAGTGTCTACAATTTATGGCTCCCACTGGAAGTGTACAGAAGTGTCCTTTTCCTTATAGTTGCCCAGCACTGAGGATTTTTCCTTAGTCTAGTTATCTTGTTGGTAAGATTTCCTATCCAAATATTTAATCTTGCAGTTCTTCAATTAGCAGAAACAATAAGGGAAATAAAAATAGTTTTTACTAAATAAAAATTTTAAAATTATTTATAAATAGTAAACATTGTAAACATACTTAAAAAGCAAAATGAGGGCTTCCCTGGTGGCGCAGTGGTTGAGAGTCCGCCTGACGATGCAGGGGACGCGGGTTCGTGCCCCGGTCCGGGAAGATCCCACATGTCCCGGAGCGGCTGGGCCCGTGAGCCATGGCCGCTGGGCCTGCACATCCGGAGCCTGTGCTCCGCAACGGGAGAGGCAACAACAGTGAGAGGCCCGCGTACCTAAAAAAAAAAAAAAAAAAGCAAAATGACAAATAAGAAATATTTGTATACGACAAGCAAAGGGCTAATATCCTTCTTATAAAGAACTCTGGCAAAGAAATAAGATCACACCAATTGAAAAAGTGGGCAAAGGACATGAAAAAATCTTGAGAAATTTTTAAGAAACAAAGCAACAAGTAAATGAACGATATATAGAAATGATCTTTTTGACTACTAAAGAACTGCAAGATTTCTTTCCTAGAAAGATATTTTCCTCACCAAAATGATGAACGTTTTACCCATACCCATACCCTCTTATGTTTAAAATTTTTGCTTTTTCAATCCAATTGGAATTTACTTTGTAATTAACTGTGACATGTAGTGATCTATTTTTTTTAAATGGCTAGACAGCTATTCTAACACGATACACTGGCAAATTCATTCTTTTCTAACTGATTTGGTATTCTATATGCTTTAGATAGGTTCCAGTATCATATTGTTATAATTATCAAAGTTGTATATTATATTTTCATACCTGGCACTATATATCTCTCTTCATTATGGGTTGATGGTTTTCTAATTATTCTCACAGTTATTTTTACTAAAGAGCTTTAAAACTGACAACTCCTCTGGAGTTGCTGGCTAAGGAAATAACCACTTTAGTAAAAGGCAATAAAACGTCAGTAAAAATGTGCCCCCCCATTTCTGCTCTCCTTCCCTTGGTTTTGTTACCATTGCCACGTGCTTGCTCAGCCACAGGAGAGTTCCTCCTGGCTTCCACTGGCTCCATTTTCTGTGCTGCTCTGTGGGGAATCTCTTTCTCCCGCCTTCTCTCAGCTCCGTCACATAAACCCCCAACCCTGCCCCTCACAGCTGCCCTTACATTCTAACGTGCTGGAGCAGCAAGATGACTCTAGCCCAAGGTTCTCTGGACCTTCTTACACCCTGTTCCACCAACTACCACATCCTATAACCGTGCGGATCTTTTCAGCTTCCTGAAAGGCCATGCAGCTTTCCTAGGGGGCTTGGCATCCTTGTTAATATTTAATCTGCTCCCTGTGTGCTGGGAATTCCTTGAAGTTTCTGGTCTTTGGATGGCATCTTTCCTTGGCTCCCATCCCAGCTGCAGGTCTCCTCCTATTTGTAGGCTTCTTCTATGACTTCAGTTGGGATTGGGCAGAGGAAGGGAAAATGGCGAATTTCTGTTTCCAAGCTTGCATCTTTCCCTGAAGCTATTGGAGATGATTATTTTCCAAGTGCCCTAAATGAAGCGTCTATTAATTTTATAGTGAGGAAGTAAATTGCTTTACATCTTTTAAAGAACACTATAATATTCATTCCTGCCTTTCCTGTAATTTAGGACATGATTTATAATATTGCGCAGTATCTCCCAGAACCAGTCCTATTTCCCATAAGCTAAACAGTTGATTAATTTTTATCTAATGAATACGGTGGTGAGACATGTAACTGACCATGTTTCCCTCTTGACTGTGGAGCCCAAAGCCTCGACCTCCAGCAAGTGTCCTGGGACACCCCTCACATGTTTTCTTATACTTAAGTTCACTTTACTCCTATTTCTTTCGCCTTGAAATACTCTGGTGTGGGTGTCTTTTTGTACACCAAATGCAATCCTTCCCAGAGCCTGCAGGACGTAAATAAGTGTTTGGCTGAGTAAGAGTATCACACTTTTGCATACATATGTCATAAAATGTCTCTCCCATTTACCCTCGTGCCCTCCCCTGCATCCTTCTCTGCCGGAGAAGATGCTAGAGCATGACACTGTCTGGAAAGCTTGGTGCGAATTGCACACCTTCCTACACTCACACAACCTAAAAAAGCCTGAGAAACAGGTATAAATTCGATCTTAAAATTACTTTCAATTGCACACGACACACTGATATGTTTCTGGTATAAAACTTCCCTAAAGGCATGTAAGTCCCTGTGTTCTCTATGGAGAGTCCAGCTCCCATCCCCAGACGTGAGGACTAGTTGGTGTACATTTTTGCAGGCAGTTGTTTATTATTCTGAGACCTCACTTTTTCTTGCATTCTCTCACACTCTTCTCTCTCTGTCTGTACACAATACCTAGGATTGTTTTGAGTTTTTCTTTACAATAATGTTATCATACAGTATGATACTGCATGTATGTTGTTTTTATTACTCAATATATGATGTAGATATTTTCATGTCAGTGCATATTACTCTCCAT